TCAAAATAATCTTCTGTCAATTCTTTATTAACAGTTTATTTTACTAAAATATCCTTTTTTTCTATCACATACAACTGTAATTAATAGTAAGCACGTACAATTGACCAATTAATTGTTCAGTTCTGTCCATTCAGTACTTTTCCATTATACTAGATGCGTACAGGTCATTTATTTTATATTGTTTAATACTTTTCTGAGACGCGTAAACAATTTTATAATGATTTTAAATTATTTATCTACTTGTAAAGAATAATACTTAATTTACCCATAAACACAAGCTAACAGTTAACTATGAAACTGTACAAATTAGAGACAAGATCTTTTCTCTTAATTTAAGGCCCTCTTGTATCTCCACTTACGTTTCCTTAGTAGTACGCAAATATGCACCGAGAGACTTCATACATTTTTAATAAGAGAAAATAACAAATGCAGTTTTAAAAAATCTTTTGATCATTTTAGAGTATATGGAAACCCATTTTATTTAATAAATATGATTTTCGATTTTTTCTATCAAGCCAATATTTGAAATTTATGTTTCTGTTGCAGCAAACAATGGTCCATATGTTTAAATTTCATATAATAATTTTTATTTGGCAAATGATAGCAAATACCAGTATAATTTATTCAACTTTATTGCATTTGTAGTTAAACACAGAGTTGTGGTAGTTTTTGTTCAGTACTTTAGATAATTCTTCGAGCATTAATTAACATTAATCATGGAGTATAACTTTAACGTTAAAAAGAATGAGGCTGGATGGCACTTTGTGAGGTATTAAAGTTAAAGTTTATATCAAATTTGACAATAACTGTCAAGCTAACTTTGACCGTGGAATGCGTTGCCTTGCTCCAAAAGCACTCCAAAGCAACCAGCTCCAAATTAACTAAAATAATCCACTTTTAAACTTCAATTCCAATTCAAATCGAGTTGAAAATGAATCGAGATGATCCGATTCATATAATCTTAAGTTTATTCTTTTTTAATAACGGGAAAACAAATTTATGCCTCGGGTCCTTTTATCGATGGTTAAAAATTTGTCTATGCCGATAGACAAATTATTGTTTTTAAACTGTAAAATTAGAAACGTCCAGTCTCTTTTCGTTAATTTTCTACGAAAATTAAATAAAAATTTACAGTGATGGTATTCCGATACTTTATGTTTAAATGACTCCAGACTTTAGTGGAATAGTTTACAGTAATTGTAACATCTTCGATATACGGGAATTGTAGGATATTAATGGAAATCTGATATCATCACAACAAATAGAAACATCAATCTATCACAAATACCATGCACAATGAAAAAATATGAATTATCCACCATAAAACAGAGAACTTGAAACAGACGGTTTACCATGTCTTCCGAAAATCAAATGATTTCGTGATAATTAAAAAAGTCACTCATATGACTAGACCATCACTGTAGACTTTTAAATTAATTTTAAGTGATAAATTACGTACGTACGTAAAAGCACAGATAAGTAATAAGTTAAAATTTAGTTAACTATTATGCCCAGAATATAATTTTTAGGTTGCTATTTGTTTTACTTATATTTTACTCGTACTTAGTCACTTAAAATTAAGTTAAAAACCTACTTACCACTTAATTACGTGTAAACCAGCGATAAGAGTAAGGGTGCATCGGAAAGAGTTTATTGGATATGCCACCCACGTTTTGACTAACCTTCGAGTAATGAGAGTGTCCCACACTAACCTGTCAAGCGGCAGAGACAGTACACAATGCATTCCCCTACAACACATAAAAAGCTGAAAACGAGGCTTATTCAGTGTAAAGACACTGAATATCGTTAACATTTGATTCATACACTTTCAGCTTTCGGCGTAGCATTCGCAACGTCATTAGAAATTAGACGAACGCCAACATTCGATGCCAATCACCCCTACGTTTTCTACTTGAAAGAGAAAAATAATATGCTATTCACTGGACACTTTCAGCCTTAGGTATCAAAACAAAAAAGTTTACCAGCATGTTTATGAAACGATACTGCCGTAAATTTGTCACTAATTCATCTCCACTTTTTTTCAAATTCTAAGTAACTCATAACGTGGTAAAGGAATTTATCTTGGGTTTGATTACCTCTTCTCTATTGTATAACATCTACAACTCTGACTTCATTGTTTACAGCATCATAGCTCAATATCTTCTCTTCTTTCAACATGACGACAATAATATTAATATGTAATTAGTCAATCAATTTTCGTTGTATAAATACAGTTATTTACTTCTTATTTGCACAGGGTTTAACAGTTTTTAAATCAAGTAAATAAATTGTTATTCATTTACGAAAAAGAAAATAAATTTAAAAATAATATTTCCTTCTTAAAAGTTGTGATTAAAAATTTTATTACCATAAACTAATTACAAAACGATACAAACTATATCTAATTACGTTCTTCAGAGAACAAAGGCTACTTTGTTCTCTATAAGTCTATAACTTCAATCATGTCTAAATCATGTTTTGCCTAAAATTCATTCTGAGGTAGTGTTTGGCCTAGATATGTCGTTATTTTTGTTTAAAATTAATCTTATTTTTTCAGCGTTCGGAATAGTAGGCTACAGTCTTGTAATTAAAGAGCCAAAGGTCTTTCGGGCTTGCCACCCTTTTCTATTCTTTTTGGCACATAAAAAGAATGTCATATTTAACGGAGCTTACTTTTCTTAGGTACAGTAGATAACTCATTTTTCTATGCATTGTACGTGCCTGTATGCATTGTTGTTTTTACCTTTTTGTCGTAACTATGAATGATAAAATAAATATAATTAAATGGTATACCAGTAACAATTGCATTAAAAGGGATTTACTATGAGTCTGAAAATATTTGTATTCAGAAATTCATTAACATAAATGCCGAAGTAATGGCTTTTCGGAAAGAATAATATTTAGTCTTTGGTAACTCGCAGTCATCAAAGTTGCATTTGTAATAAGCACAGAACCATGTGCTGCACGCATGAGTTCAACATATCTTCATGCATTATATAACACAACACAAATTAGAACCTTAATATGTTAAAAATAATATTGACGACTATATAATTAAAAAAATATTCAATTTTTAAACTTCGCAGCGTTTGGTGTCCAATATCTGTCAGCATTTGTACCAATGGAAACACCTCAGTTCAAAGCGGATCATCCCTTCGTATTCTTCTTAAATAACGACAACACAACGTTGTTTAATGGGTTATTCCATCCATAACTGACTAATATTTTATGGTAGGACTATTATCTATTTGCTAACGTTTTTTAACTCTACTGTAACTAAAATTATAACCAAATTAATAATTTACGCTTTTAATTTTAAAACCCACAGTTAAATCACAATCGATTCTGAATAGTAAACACATAATATGGAAAATTGCTTCTCAATAAGTAGATAAAAGTACTACATACATACAAACATACTTATCGCTTTTTATATACATATAATTATCTACTACCTCGAAGTTAAAATTGTTTCATAATAACTTACATGCTCTTTTAAAACGACTTAAATTAATTTGTCGCATATATTTCATTTAGAAATTATCTACCTATTGAAAAATCTCTATTTAAAATCACAGCTCTTATATTTTGAAGAAACTTTAATATAAAATATCACAAGAAAACAAACATTATGATAATGGCACAAGATAACAATTCTTTTGTTAAATTAATTTCAGATTTCCTATTAAAAAGAGCATCGTTTCCCCCTCGTCAGTTTGTTGCTGATCATCCTTTCTTCTATTCGTTGAAGTGCAGTAAAATTAAAATATTCAACGGAATATATTCCAGTAAACATGATGTTATGTAACGTATTTCAATTTAAAACGAACCTTGAAAAGTATTAGTAAATAACTGGTTGTATTGGTGCACAGAATTAACTTATATGATAAATTATATTTAAAAGCGAATTTGAGTTTTATTTTTAGCAATATTATTTAGTCAACTTATGTAATTGGTGAAAATAAAATAATGTATCACCATAGCAAAATCCAACAATTAAAATATTAATCTGGCTAAAATTATTATAGAATCTGTCTACATAGGTAGATACCAATAATTGTAATTTTGGACGATTCTATCTTTGCTCTATTTTTATAAATTTCTACTGACATTTCGTTTTCTTCGGAATATCGATGTCTTCATTTATTATCTACATAATTTATCTTTTTATGAGTTATTCACAATTATCATTCATTTAATATGTGAGCATAAAACGCTATCAACAATAACCTAATGTCTCTTAAGTCGGGGTGATGGTTACTCACATCTAATTAAGGTTGAACTTCACGATTTCATTTGTTTTCCATGTCAAGAGGTGGCATTAATGTGCCAATTTGATGATTAAAATTTCTTCTCCTGACAGGCAAAGGATACTGAGACATTCCACCTTAATTATATATTTTGCATGACAATTCCAATTTTTCAACCGCCATACATACTCTCAATATTATTCAATTTCATAAAAAATTAATAATTGCACAAAAATGATTACTTATTTTTTTATGCTAATTCTTGTGCGATAGTTAAACAAAAAAGTTGCATTATTACTTATAAAACAAAAACCTCTTTTCGAAACGGTAAATTAGTTGAACAAGTCAACGGAGGATTTAGAAATTGGATCTAATTTGCATGATTTGTGTGGGATTATATGGAAAATGGTTAAAAATAGAGCATGTTATTAGCTATAGTTATCCTATGTTTTTTATATTTTGACTAGTTAAAAAAATAATATTATATTGGTCCCTTATTTTATAACTCTATAACTATTGATGTATGTTCATTTCCAATGACATGTATTTTATTAATTTAGTTTGGATGATTGTGTGGAGCTATAAAATTTTAAGAACAGAAACTCACTATTTATAATTTCCTTGTATCGAAGTTAATAATATCATTGTATATTCTCAGAACTATATCTCGATTTTATAGCTTGTTCATAAATAAATGTAATTAGATGTTTTCGTTATGTGTATTCTAATATGTTTCTTTTTGTGTTTCAGGAATATTGACAATATCAACGTTTAGTAACAAGAACTATTTGATACAATTATCATTGACATTTCATTTAAAAAATAATAAATATAATACTTTTATAATCAATGTGATTTTATTTACTTAAACACCTATATAATAAACTAACTGTTAATGACAACCCCTATGATGTAACTACTCGTAGGTGAAAAAAAAATAAAAATCGGTCTTGTAGTTTTAGAGCCTATTCGATACAAACACACAATTAAATCTGTCCTCCTTATAATAGTAGTATATGTTATCGGTATACAGAATAGCACAACAGGCTACCAAAAAAAATATGAATGTTTATGAAAAAAAAAGAAAACTGTTTTACAAATGGCCAAAGGTTTGAAGTTTGAAAATTTGCGTAATCTGAGGTGTCTGTTGACTTGAAAATGAAAATCTAAAACAGATTTTGCCATAGAAACGTTTCCAGTACCTAACTGAAATACAATCCGGAACTTTTTCATGTGCCATATTATACTATATGAGATCTTCTAAAGATTCAAAATATTAGATATATATTTGCTTTTGTTTAACAAGAAAAAACTTAGATAATAGACATTAAAGTTGAGGAGAGGCTCGGTACGTTATAACTAGGTGGAAAGCTGTGACGTCATACGATATTTCAACTCAATATATCAACAAAAATTGGTCACATCCCTATTTTGATTGCCGTTAATCACGTGTCATACGTGAATGCAAGCTCACACATCACAATTGCAAACTATAGCTATCGGCGACAATACGCCTGCAGTTTAATAATCACATCTCAACAGAATCTCAACTACTTGCATTTTATAATTGTACTATCTACCTGATGTCCAACATGGTTAGTGCAATGTGTTCCTCATACATCAATGATGACAGATATATATTAGGGTTTAAAGTATGAAATTACCGTTTTATTGTAATAGGTTCCTTGAATTGATATAGAATCTTAATGGTTTGAGGTTTTCGAAAGAAACTTTTTTCACATGCTTTCTATGATGTTCTTCTTTTAAAAAAATGTGAAACATTTAATTTTTATTTGGCAAATGATAGCATAGCCTTAGAATGAAATTTGATAAAAAAAAGTGATTATTACGTAACACCTCGCCTTAACCATGTATTCGAAATATTTTATACAGACGACGGGATTGGCTGCCCATTCGTGAGCGCAGAAACCTAAGGATCGTATGCACTCTCTTCAACATTCTTTTCGATCCACATACTCCTGAGTATTTGAAATCTAGGTTTCACTTCCTCGGAGCCTCCCACCAGAAAAATCTTCGCTCCAGTGGTAATATGATCCTTCAAACACCTACTCACCATTCCAGCTACTTATCCAGCTCTTTCACTCTGACTGCCATCCGACTATGGAATGCATTACCATTTGTAGTTCGTAACGCCCCAAACAAGCTCGCATTTAAGTCTGCAGCTCGTAACCACTATTTCCTGTCTACTTCCATTTCATAATCAGACACCACCATTTCAGTACTCGTTATACCTTATAATGTATTTGTATATATAATGTACGTATATTAATATTATGTATACAACGTGTCCCAAAATTCAACGATAAGCGGGCGCCAAGAGGTAGACCTGCTCATGTGTACTTATGGAAAAATAAGAAAAAAATTATATCTTATTAATCTTTTTTATTATAAAATAAAATTCGAAAATTTTCACCTTTTATGATATTTTCAACTACCACGACCACAACTTCTCAATTATGTTCAATCTTTTTTTGGTATCGGATACCTAAGTAGTACTAATATTCGCTACAACTGTTAAAAACACCAAAATGCCCACAGTATTTACACAAAAAACAATCAAAATGTATTTTTTTCCTTAAATTTTCACAGATCTTTGACTCACAGTCATGTAGAAAAAAAGTATGGCAACTACTGCGGCAAGTTGTTTTTAAAATTGACGCAGCTCATGAAGATTCCATAATGGTATAATACTTCATGATAACTAGCAACAAACTAAAAATCATACCATTTAGAATCAAGAACCAAAGTTGTGAGTAATAAATTGTACTGTTCCGAAATGTTTTAATATTTAAAAAAAATATTGAAATAAAACAATAGTGAGTTTTAGTCTCATTCATTTATTAATAATTAACATTACAGTAAATGTTCAAATTGTTTTCCACCGGCATTAATACATGCACGACATCGCCTTAAAAAAGAGCGTTTTAGTTTTCGTGCATACCTTTTAGCATTGATATGTGACGCAGCCTGACTAATTTTTTGCCGAAGCTCGTCCAATGTCGTAATGGGTTTTTCATAGATTTTGTCTTTGAGACAACCCCAATAGAAAAAGTCCAGGGGGTTCAGGTCGGGTGATCGGGGTGGCCATAAGATAGGACCAAGTCGCCCAATCCAACGCCCGGAATACTCTTGGTTTACAAATGGTGTGCATATTTTTTTACTGTGACTAGTTATCTTAGATTATTATACCATTTTGGAGTCTTGATGAGTTCAGTCAATTTTAAAAACAACTTGCCACAGTGGTGTCCATACTTTTTTTTTACAAGACCGTAAGTCAAAGATTACGGAACGTAATAATCTGTGAAAATTTAAGGAAAAAAATACATTTTAATTGTTTTTTGTGTAAATACTGTGGGCATTTTGGTGTTTTTAAGAGTTGTAGCGAATAGTAGTGCTACTTAGGTATCCGATACCAAAAAAAGATTGAACATAATTGAGAAGTTGTGGTCGTGGTAGTTGAAAATATCATAAAAGGTGTAAATTTTCGAAGATTTTCGAATTTAATTTTATAATTAAAAAGATTAATAAGATATAATTTTTTTCTTATTTTTCCATAAGTACACATGAGCAGGTCTACCTCTTGGCGCCCGCTTATCGTTGAATTTTGGGACACGTTGTATATGCGTATATGTATTGTATGTATATATGCTAATGCTTATAGTTACGATTTTATGTATAGTTTTTAATCTTTACCGCCTACTACTGTTCTGTACAATCTAACTGGTTGACTGGGAGAGAATGCCTCTATGGCATTAATTCCGCCATTTGTCCTTAGGCAATAAAGAATAAATAAATAAAAAAAATAAAAATACGCGGTTTTAGTAGATATGAACACTTAACAGCTACTCATCCTTTCCTCTTCTATTTGAAACAAAAAAAATATTGTTTTATACAAGGAAGCCTTCTTTTCTTAGTTAAAGTATGTAATCTAATTTTCTATTCATCATATTCGTGTTTGTCGTACGTGTATACTATCTTTTTTAATTTTCCAACCCCTTATTAACTTTATCTCGTATCTGTAGTTGAGTAGAAGTGATTAAAAGGTTAAAAAAATACTTAAGCATTAAATTATATCTTAACTTTGAAGTAAAAATTATTTTTAACAAATACTAAACTGTTAAAAGTAAGAATACGTATTATTAAGTATTGACAGTACTTGTTTCGTTTAAATTCTTGTCTATTGGTTAAACACATTAGCTTCAGTTATTACTAATACTCAAGCAGTTACATATTAGGTAGTGTTGAAGAAAATTAATATATATTCACTTGAGGGAATCCTAATTGGTTGGAAATTATTTGTTAAAATACAAGCATAAGTATAATTAATCAACCTTATTGCATTAGTAGTTAAACACAGAGTTATGGTACTTTTTGTTCAGTAGTTTATATAATTCTTCGTGCATTAATTAACATTAAACATGGAAGTATAACGTTAACGTTAAAAAGAATAAAGCTGGATGGCACTTTATGAGCAATTTTGACAATAACTTACAAGCTAACTTTGACCGTGGAATGCGTTGCCTTGCTCCCGAAGCACTCCAAAGCAACCAGCTCCAAATAAAGTAAACTTTGGTGATAAAGGAATTTATATTGGGTTTAATTGCCTCTTCTCTATTGTATTACCTCTACAACTCTGACTTCATTGTTTACAGCATCGTAGTTAAATATCTTCTTCTCTTTCAACATGACGAAAATATAGAAATCATTAATTATTTACACAGGGTTATGTATTTTCATTTCATGAACGAAAAGGAAAATAAATTTAAAACTACTTTAAACGAAAAATATTTCCTTCTCAAAGTTTCTGATTTAAAATTTTACTAACATAAACTAATTACAAAACGATACAAACTATATCTAATTACGTTCTTAGCCTTTGTTCTCTGTATGTCTTTAACAAAATAAGTCAAAATTAATCTTATTTTTTCAGAGTACGGAATAGAAGGCGACAGTATTGTGATTAAAGATCCAAAGGTCTTTCGGGCTTGCCAACCTTTTCTATTCTTTTTGACACATAAAAAGAATGTCATGTTTAACGGAGCTTACTTTTCTTAGGTACAATAGATAACTTTATTTTTCTATGCATTGCAAGTGCCTGTATTGTTTTTGTTTTTTCCTTTTTGTTGATATTTTTAACATTTAATCGTCACTGTGAATGTAAGATTTATGGTAAGATAATAAATATGATTAAGTAGTATACCAATAACAGTTGCATTCTAAGGGATTTACTACGAGTTTGAAACTATTGGTATTCAGAATTTTCATCAACATAAATGCCGAAGTAATTTTCGGAAAGAGTAATATTTAAGTCTTTGGTAATTCGCAGTCATCAAAGTTGCATTTGTAGTAAGCACAAAACCGTGTGCTGCACGCATGAGTTCGACAAATCTTCATGCATTATATAACACAACACAAATTAAAACCCTAATACGTTTAAAATAATATTAATGACTTTATAATTAACAAAAATATTCAATTTTTTAACTTCGCAGCGTTTGGTGTCCAATATCTGTCAGCATTTATACCATTGGAAACACCTCAGTTCAAAGCGGATCATCCCTTCGTATTCTTCTTAAATAACGACAACACAACGTTGTTTAATGGGTTATTCCATCGGTAACTGACTAATATTTTATGGTAGGACTATTAGCTTTTCGCTAATGTTTTTAACTCTGCTGTAACTAAAATTATAACCAAATTAATAAATTACGCTTTTAATTTTAAAACCCACAGTTAAATCAAAATCGATTCTGAATAGTAAGCACATAATATGGAAAATTGCTTTTCAATAAGTAGATAAAAGTACTACATACATACAAACATACTT